TACCCACACACATTGTCTAACACAGACACACACAGACACACACAGACACACGCATGCTCACAGTGTCACACACACACACACAGTGTCACACACACACATACACACACAGTGTCACACACACACACAGTGTCACACACACACATACACACACAGTGTCACACACACACACAGTGTCACACACACACATACACACACACACAGTGTCACACACACACACACACACATACACACACACACAAAGTGTCTCTCACACGCGCGCGCATACCCACACACATTGTCTAACACAGACACACACAGACACACACGCATGCTCACAGTGTCACACACACCCACACACATTGTCTAACACAGACACACACAGACACACACGCATGCTCACAGTGTCACACACACACACACACAGTGTCACACACATACACACACACACAGTGTCACACACACACATACACACACACACAAAGTGTCTCTCACACACGCGCGCGCATACCCACACACATTGTCTAACACAAACACACAAACACAGTGTCACACACACACACACACACACACAGTGTCACACACACACACACACACACACACACACAGTGTCACACACACGGTCTCACACACACACACACACACACACACACACACGGTGTCACATACACACACACACACACACATAGTGTCACACACACACATACACACACACACACATAGTGTCACACACACACATACACACACACACACAGTGTCACACACATACACACACACCCACAAAGTGTCTCTCACACACACGCGCGCGCATACCCACACACATTGTCTAACACAGACACACAAACACAGTGTCACACACACACACACACACACACACACAGTGTCACACACACACACGGTGTCACACACACACACACAGCGCAACACACACACACACACGGTGTCACACACACACACACACACACAGTGTCACACACACATATACACACACACAGTGTCACACACACACATACACACACACACCCACACACAGTGTCTCACACACATGGTCTCACACACACAACACACACACACGGTGTCACAACACACACACACACACCCACACACAGTGTCTCACACACACGGTCTCACACACACAACACACACACACACACACACACAGAACACACACACACACACTTACCTAACGTGTGCCCCTGTAACTCCCCGGGTCTGTGTTCTGCTGCTCAGTGTGTGTGTGTGTGTGTGCGTTGGGGAGAGAGAGAGAGGGAGAGAGAGAGGGGGGGAGGGGGGAGGAAGGGGGGGGGGGGAGAGGGTGCGCTGCCCCTTTAAGAGAGTGACGGAAAAAAATATAACAACTCCCCCCCCACGCCGCACCCCCTCCCCACCCCCACACACCCCCCCCCCACCCCCCCCACCCCCGGGCTCACCCTCTCTGTCAGCGTGTGGGGGGTGGGGGGTGGGGGGAGAGAGAGCGAGAGAGCGAGCGAGAGTCTTGGGGGGGGGGGGGCGAGGGGTTAACGTCAGGGTCAGGGGTCGGGGGTGGGGGGTGGGGGTGTGTGGGTGGGGGGGGGGGGTTTCGCGGGGTTTGGGACGTAGCGGCGGCGGAGGCGGCGGCGGTGGGGGGGGGGTGGGGGGGGGGGGTCGGCGCGTGTGTGTGCGTGTGCGTGTGCGTGTGGTGGGGGCGGAGGCGGAGGAGGGGAGGGGGTGGGGGGGGAGGGGTGGGGAGGGGGAGGGGGGGATGTGAAGCCGAGAGAGAGAGAGAGAGAGGGAACGAGAGAGAGGGAGAGAGGGAGAAATGCAAACAGCGACACCAGAGGCATAACAGCCGCCCCTTCCCCCCCCTCCCCCCCTCCCCCCCCTCCCCCCACCCCCTCCCCCCACCCCCACCCCCCTCCGCCCTCCCCTCCGGCCCCTCTCCCCTCCCCTCCGCCCCCCTCCAATGGCCAACAGCCTCGCAGCTCGGAGTTCCTGAGCTGCGGGACCGGGACCGGGACCCCCCCCCACCCCACCCCCCCACACCGTCCCACCCCGGGGGTCCGGCAACCGCCTCCGTCACCCCCACCCCCACCCCCCCCCCCCACCCCCCCACCCGCAGCCTCCGCCCCTCTTGACCGGAATGACGATCGTCATCACATTCCTCATAACACTACTCATCATCATCATCATGAGCGCAAAACACACAGTCACTACACTCTCCCGCGCAGCGCTTTGAGGCGGCCGACCGGCCGGGGAGGGGGAGGGGAGGGGGGGGGAGGGGGTGGAGGGGGGGGGAGGGGGGGAGGGGGACGAGGCGTTGGGTCAAACGATTATATTATTATATTATAATATTATATTATACATTATGTTACATTATATATATTATATATTATATATTATATTATTATATTATATTATGTTATATTATATGTATTATATATATTATATTATTATACTATTATATTATTATATTATTATATTATATATTATGTTATATTATATATATTATATTATTATACTATGATATTATGTATATTATATTATAATACAATATATTATATATATTATATATTATATTATTATATTATATATTATATTATTGTATTATAATACATTGCATTATATTATAATACATTATATTATATTATAATACATTATATTATATGTTATATTATGATATTATTATAGCGCTTCCGGCGGGATCCAGGCGGTCCAGTGTAGTGACTGTGCGTTCGGGGGGTGGGGGCGCGACGGACGATTTGCCCGACGCACCGCGGAAGGAGCGAGCGATTTTACTCGCGATATTATTATTATTATTATTATTATTAGGAAGAAAATTACGCAGACTGTACCCCCCCCCACCCCCCCCCGAACCCCCACCCCCACCCCGGCAAAAAGCACACAGTCACTACGCTTCACGGTGCGTCCCGGGAAGCGCTTCGAGACGCCGCGATGAGGCGCTGTGTCGAACGCGGGGATTATTATTGGGATTATTATTATTATTATTATTATTATTAATTGTGCAGCGCACAGTCCCGGGGATCGAGCGAACAAATTTTTCCGGAAGGGGTTGTTACCCCCCCCGCGCGCGTGGACGCGCGCGCGACCCTGCGTACCCGTGCGTGCGCGCGCGGGCCCGGGCGCCCGCGTCCGCGCGGCATTGTACGCGGTCGACCCACCAGAGGATTTGAGAGCCGACATTGTTCTTTATTTATATCTAATAAAGTTTTATTCGGAGGCGAACGCGTCGGTATGAACGCAATTTGCCGCTCGTTGTTCAACGCACGACCGCGACACACCCGCACACGCGCTCGCACACACACACGCGCACACGCACACACGCACACACGCACCCACACACATACCCAGACCAGCCCGGGTCACGCACCCGGGGGGGAGAGATGGACTCATCATCATAATAATAATAATAATAATAATAATAATAATCCTCGCACTTGGTACCGCGCCGTTCGAGACGGCTCAGAGCGCTTCGCTTCGGGACCCTACCGTGAAGCGCGGGTGTAGTGACTGTGTAGTTTGTGGGCGAACAGACGATTGAAGTGACCGATTTGTTGTGATTATTTTCTTGGTGGTGGGGGGGGGGGGGGGGGATTACCGAGTGTGTGTGTGTGTGTGTCTGTGTGTGTGTGTGTGTGTGTGGGGGGGGTGCGGGGTGCGGTGGGGTGGCGCGGGCGCGGGGGTGGGGGGGGGGTAAGGAAACTTGCCTAAGGTTTCGCCCCCAACCCAACCCACCCAGGGTCCCTCTCGCTTGCGAGGTGAGGGGTCTGACCCCTGAGCTACACCCCCCCACCCCACACACACACACACACGCGCACACGCGCACGCACGCACCCACATACGTGCACCCACCCCCACACAGACACACACCCACACAGACACACACACACACACACCGCATACACGCGCCCACCCCCACACAGACACCCCCCCACGCAGACACACACACACCACTTACACGCGCCCACCCCCACACAGACACACCCCCACGCACACACACACACACAGTCAGATACACGCGCACACACACACACACACACACACACAGACACAGAGACGCGCACACGCACCCACCCACCCACCCCCACACACCCCCACCCACACACACGCGGACGCGCACACGCACCCACCGACGCGCCCGCAACACCCGCGGAGACACGACAACCCCCACCCCACCCCACCACCCCACCACCACCCCACCCCCACCCCCCCCCGCCGCCGCCCTCCCCTACGGCACGACCACGCTGATCTCGGCCAGCCCGGCGGCGCTGGCGGCGGCGGCAGCGGCGGCGGCGGCGGAGCCGTCCCCGGCCCCGGCCCCGGCCCCGGCCCCGCCGCGGGCGGCGGTCCTGCCGTGCTGGTCCCGCAGGTGGACCCGGAGCGTGTTGTAGTGGGTGAAGCGCATCTCGCAGTGCGAGCAGCGGTGGGGGGAGTCGCCGTTGTGCACGTTCATGTGGTCCTTGAGCGAGCGCTTCTGGGTGAAGGTCTTGCCGCAGGCCGAGCAGCAGTAGGGCTTGAAGCCCGTGTGCACGTTGATGTGCTGCGCCAGGCGCGCGTTCTTCTTGAACACCTTCCCGCACAGCAGGCACATGTACAGCTTGTGGGTGACCATGTGGGCCGCCATGTTCTCGCGCCGCTGGAACAGCTCCCCGCACTCGGGGCAGCACGAGGGGCCTCCGCCGCCGCCGCCGCCGCCTCCGCCCCCGGCCTCCGGCGGCCCCCGGTAGTAGCAGCCGGTGAATCCGCCTCCTCCGCCTCCTCCTCCTCCGCCTCCTCCGGCCCGGCAGTCCTCGCTGGCCGAGCTCTCGTAGTCCTCCTCCTCCTCCAGGGCGTCCTCCGCCACGAAGCCCTCGTCCTCGTTGGCCTCCGTTCCGCCCGACCGCCCGGCCGGGCCCTCCCCCGCGGAGTGGGTGCGCGAGTCCGGCTCCAGGTAGGACGCCTGGCCCGCCTCCCCCTCCCCCTCCACCTCCCTCGCCCTCGCCCTCTCCCTCTCCCCCTCGGCCAAGCCCGGGGAGGGAGGCCCGTCCTCCTCCATCTTGACCGTCTCGTTGGCGGAGGGGGAGGAGGAGGAGGGCCGGAGGGGCAGGGGATGGGGTTGGAGGAGGGAGAGGGGGAGAGGGCGGGGGGAGCGCTCGGAGGAGGAGCCGATGGCGTTGGCGGCCTGGGCCTCCTCGCCGCCCGAGAGCATCTGGGAGGCCACGCAGCGGGACAGGCAGAGCCGGCAGCGCTCCACCACCTGCTCCATCTGCAGGCAACTGGCGGCCGTCAGGTAGTCCACCACCTCGGGGAAGGGGAAGTCCAGCCGCCCCGTGTAGCAGGAGACCAGGAGGCTCAGCACCACCCCGGGGGCGGCCATGGGGCAGACGTGGACCTCGCGCGAGGGGTTCATGTGGAAGCGGTCGCGGAGGAAAGGGGAGCAGGCGGCCAGGACCACCCGGTGGCCGGGGAACCGTAGCTCTCCTCCTCCTCCTCCTCCTCCTCTTCCGACGCCTCCTCCTCCTCCTCCTCCGACTCCCCCGACGCCTCCGCCTCCCCCGACGCCTCCGCCGCCTCCCGTCACCACCACCGTCACGTCGCAGAAGCGCTCCTCCGTCCTCAGTTGGTTCATCTTCCTCATGACCCCGGCCTCGTGGTTGGGGAATTGGAAGTGGAGCATTTTGCTGCTCTCCATCGTTTCGCTCTCTCTCTCTCTCTCTCTCTCTCCCTCTCTCGCTCTCTCGCTCTCTCTCTCCCCCCTCTCGCTCTCTCTCTCTCTCTCTCGCAGTGTCCCGCCTGCAAAGCCAAAGGAAGACCACGTAATAATAATAATAATAATAATAATAATAATAGTACTGGCGTTTGACACAGCGCCTTCGAGACGCCTCAAAGCGCTTCACGCTGTACCGTGTAGTGACTGTGTGGTTTTTTTTTGGGTGGGGGGGAGGGGGCGAAATGCTATTTTATCTCCTGTATGGTACGAGAGTTAGGGAATCGAGCCGACCCCACCCCCCCTCACCCCACCCCACCCTCTCGGTGACGGTCTCTCTACCCCCCCGGTCCCTGAGCCAGGAGGGTCCGCAGTCTCCCGGGGCACTCACTGCTGACGACGCCGCGGCCCGGGCAGGACAGACCCAGTCACTACACTCGGGGAATCCCCCCCCCCTCGGCTCCTGCAGCCAAAGCCCTCACTGACTAACCGGCGGTCAGGGGTGGTCCGAGCTGGACAGCGCTCTCTCTCTCTCTCTCGCTCGCTCTCGCTCGCTCTCGATGGCCAAGCCGTGGGGGGAGACCCCAACGCTTACCCCCATCCAACGCGCAGACTCTGAGGCTTCCCCCCCACCCCACCCCACCCCACCCACCCACTCGTCACCCCCAACCCTCCCCCCCCCACCCCAAACCCTCCCGGTCAAGCCCCGACTCTGGCCAACCTGACCCGAGCACGAAAAGCTTCTCCTCTTCCTCTCTCTCTCTCTCTCGCTCTCAGGGTGGGCTGTGGGGTGGAGTGGGGGGGGGGGGTGGTGGGGTGGAGTGGGGGGGGTGGGGGCATTTTCCCCGATCAACCCAATCGCTCTCCGCCGCCCCCCCCCCTTACCCCAACCCACCCCACCCCCACCCACAAAAAAAAACTTTTGACGCGCGCTCTCTGTAGCTCGGGGAGGTTTTGGGGGGGGGGGAAGAGGTGGGGGTTGGGGGGTGGGGGGTTGGGGGGTGGGGGATTGGGGGTGGGGGGAGAGAGCGCGGAGCCAACTGGGAGGAATAATTGCCTCCGGTACTTGCCTGGCGGAGGGGGCGGAGGGGGCGGAGGGGTTGGGGGGGTGGGGGGGGGTACGCCGGCCCCGGCTACCGGCCCGTCATTCCCGGCACAACACACACACACACACACACTCACTCACTCACTCACGCTCGCTCACACTCGCTCGCGCTCACACTCGCACTGGCCAACTGCTGGATTCTCCGGAGTGTTTCCTCCTTCTCTCTCTCCTTCTCTCTCTCTCTCTCTCTCGCTCCCGCGTCTCTGACCATATAATAATAATAATAATAATAATAATAATAATAATAATAATAAGATGTGACGCCTTTTATCGCGTCGAGGTGTCTCGGATCGGCGGTGTCCCGGTCAGAGCGCCGGCGAGAGAGGAGAGAGAGAGAGCGAGCGAGGGGGGGCGACCCCGGGGCGGGGCGGGCGGCGGCGGCGGGGGGGGTTGGGGGTGGGGATCGATCCCCAGCGAGTTCGGGCGGGGTCTCCCGACTCCACCCCTCCGTAAGTGGGAACCCGGCCGCCGTTTCAGCCGACCCCGGCTTTTTCCGAGCCGCGACACTCTCACCCTCCGGGGAGGACCGCCCGAGGCCGGGGCGGGCGGGCGGGCGGGCGGGCGGGTGGGGGGCGGATGGCGCCCGGCTGGGGCCCCAGTCGGCCTCCGCGTTTCGCACCGCAAGATAGTCACTACACTACACTGCACTACCGGCGAAGCTCTTCGGGACGTCGCGATGGGCGTTCTATCAAACGCATTGTTGCTATCGTACTTAAATACCCGTGAAGCGAAGTGACAATTTATCATTTGAACCATCATTAAACGAAAGGGTTATTATTATTATTATTATTATCCACTTTATTATTGGCAGTTTGTGTCCCAGTTATTCTGCGCGGGAGAGGTCGGAGGATGGATATTGGCGCCCGGCGCCTTTAAGGCGTCGGTTCACCTTTAAGGGGCGGGGCCGCGTGACGTCAGGGGCCGGGAGCCATGGCGGCTCCGGATGCTGAGGTGAGAGTCCGCGCGGGAGGCGAAGATGGCGCCGGCGGCCCCCGGGAGGCGCCGGAGCCTCGGGGCTGGAGAAGCGGCAGCTCCCTGACCCGGTCACCGGGAAGCGCGACCGCGGGCTCCCGGGCCGCCGCCGCCGCCGCCCTTCCGCGGTCGGCCTTGGGCGGCCGAGAGAGACGGGAGAGACGGGTGGAGGGGGCCCCGGAATGTGAATAGCTCAGATCGCCCGCCTGCCACCATGGAGGGGGGAGCGCGTTACACAGGGGCCCGGGCGCGCGCGCGCTCGCTCGCTCGCTCGCTCTGGCCCGCCGGCTGGCGGCATCGCCCCGCCGCCCCGGAACCTGCATCGCTCACGACGCGCCCGCCTTGTCGCGGGTGAGGAGCATGCGTCGCGCAGGGTCCCGGGCGCGGGGCGGGGAGAAGTGTCGTGCGAGTGCGGGAACCCCGAAACCTGGGTAGCTCACAACACGCCGCCCCGCTCGCTCGTCGGAAGCGCACTTGGGCTGAGGCCGGGGCGGGAAGCCCACCCCGGAACGTGCGTGTTCGAGGCACCGGCCGCCTGGAGGCGGGGTGAGAGCATGCGTTATGCGGGGGGCAGGGTCGGCGCCTCCCACCCCAACCCCCCCCTTCCACCACGGTTGCGCCCGGCAACCTGGACGATGCATAAACCCGCCGCTCCGGGTCACTGGGGAGAGCTCCGGCTACACAGGGTTGGGGGCGGCGGGCATGGGACCCCCGACCCTGGATAGTGACCGAGCGGCGCCCGCTGAGCGCTGCCCGGGCCGCGCGTTACACAGGGTTCGGGGTCCGGGGCTCGCATTGTGTGCCGCGTTGTGTGTGGTCCTGGTCCCCCCCCCCCACACCCCCTCCCCCGAATGGCCTCACAGCAGTGTGTCCCCCCCCCCCTCACCCCCACCCGGTGCGCTGCGTCGCTCCATCACAGAGTGCATCAGCGTCAGAGCCCGTGGCTCGGTCGGGTCTCTCGCTCGCCTCCGGGTTCGAGCCCCCCCAAACCCCCCCCAAACCCCCCCCTCCGCGTCAGGACTTGGGGGGACGGGGGGACGGGACGGGGACGTCACGCGGTCTAATCCGACCCTCCAGTCCAGCGCTGGGGGTGTGTGTGTGGCGTTGCGTCGTCGGAGAACGCCGTCCCCTCTTCGGCTGAGACGCGAAACCTCACCCCCCACCCACCCACCCCCCCCCCGTGTCTCGTCTGCGGGACGTCGTCGGAAAGCTCTCCCGCCGCCGTGTCCAGGCTGACAATCCCACCCCCCACCCTCCCGCCGCCGCCGCCGCCCCCCCCAAATGAAACGGTGGCTCACTCCGTGCGGGAGCGCTTTGCCGTTCGCACGTCGGGGGCTTTCCCTCCCCCCCCTCCCCCTCCCCCCCCCCCCCCCCCCCACCCACGACACAAAACGCACAGTCGCGGGATAGGCCGGGAGAGCGTTTCGATGGCGCGGTCGGGCGCTGTCTCGAATGCGTTGGTTATCGTCGGCCACGGCACGTGGCGTGGGTGAACGACGCAGTGGTCTTGCGCGCGCGGGGAGCGGAGCGGTGTTTTCTTTCGACCGGGGTGGGGGGGGGGAATTATTCACCAGGGCACCGGGTGGGGGGTGGGTGGGGGGGAGAGAGAGAGAAAGAAAACTCCCTTCTCTTCTACGGATGTTTCACGTCCACCTGAATGGGGCAGAGGTGGCGGGATGGAGACGGTGAGGGATACTGGACAAAGAAAGGCCAAGGTCCATCTCCGGTCACCTAACTCACCTAACCCCCTACCTACCTGCCCGTACCCTCCGTTCCTCCTGCTCCGGTCTGCTCCACGTCCCCCGCCCCAACCGCCCTACCATCGGTGGTCGGGCCTTCAGCCTCTCAGCCCCGAGGCTCTGGAACTCTATCCCCCAGTGCCTTCGCCGCTTCCTCCCTCTCCTCCTTCAAGGCCGGTCTCAAAACCTTTCTCTTTGACCGTGCCTTCAGCTCCCCTCTCGACTCTCTCCCCCTCCTCGCTCCCTCCCTT